CGACAGTTTTGGCCCTGACCCATGACAGAGCTCAGGGAGGAGGAGGTGGAGACACAAGTCTGGCCACAGGGTAGTTTACCAGCCATGCCGATCTCAGCTGTGATGACAGATGGCCTGCCATACACCCCTCTGCCCAGAGAACACACACACACACACACACACACACACACACACACGCCAGATGAGGCAGATGAGGCTGAGCTCGATGTGTAAGGGCACGTGATCAGGCTGGAGCTGAAACCCCCAATTTGTAAACCTCAGGCAGGTAAGCTGGAGAGAAACTTCCACGTCCCCGAGTGGGTGAAAGAGGGTGGGGCAGCCGGACCCGCATTCAACTCCTGGCTCCAGTCTGAAGAGCCATGTGGCCGGAGGCGCACTGCTTCTCCTCTTTCCGTCTTAATCTTTCTCATCTGTAGACGTGTGGACAGACACTCAGTTCGTGGGTTGTTGTGAGGATTAACTTGACTGAAACAATCAATGGCAACTGAACTAGCACGCTGCCTGCCACAGCCTGTAAGTGCTTCCCAAGGATCCCTCCCTCCCTCCCTCCCTCCCTCCTCCCTCATCTCTTTCTCTTCTTTCCACACAACCTGAAGGATAGCAAGCTAGCCTGCTGCCCATCACTGGCTGGAGACTTGGGCAAAAACTCAACGTCAACGTCTCTGAGCCTTAATTTTCTTATCAGTAAAATGGAGATGAAAATCCTTCCAGTATTATATGAAATGCTGAAAGGTATCCTTTAAGAAGAGGAAGAAGATGAAAAAGGTAAAGATACAAATTATGAACAACAAATACACATCTATCAACAAGTGAATCTAAAAATCAAGTGAATAAATAATCTGATGAACAGAATAAACCGGTGAATATAATAGAATCAGGGGCATAGAAAGGGAGTGGACTGACTATTTTCAGGGGGGAAAGGGGTGTGGAGGATGCGGGAAGAGACTGGACAAAAATCGTACACCTATGGATGAGGACAGTGGGGGGGCGGTAAGGGCAGAGGGTGGGGTGGGAACCGGGTGGAGGGGAGCTATGGGGGGAAAAAAGAGGAACAACTGTAATAATCTGAACAATAAAGATTTAATTTTTTTTAAAAAAAGAAAATTCCTTCCTTTGGCTGGGGTGGCGGAGGGACTGGGGGTGGGGGTGAACACTGAGCAAGGATGTAAAACTCTGAGCACGATTCTTGTCACATGCTGGTAATTATCATAATGTTCATTGTTCCAGATTTTCCTCCTCGCTGAAGTCCTAATGGATCCTCCCAATCATTATAGAAGTTCTGCC